GCATATATATATAAGTTACTATCTACTTGTATTCTGTATAGGTATTCTCTAGGTATAACTCGTAAGCATTTTTTCCTTTCTAGTACTAGGTCCTTGAATGAACATCCTTTGCACAGAGTCAGTTTGCCACTTGCTGTAATGATGTAGTATACTAATGTTGCCTTTGTACTATTATAGCTTGATATTTTTCCACACTTAAGTTCTGATGTAATTGCCTATTTTTACATTATGGGTGCTATTTTGTTAATGTATATGAATTTGGAATGACAAATCTCAGCGAAGGGTTCATAAAGAAAGTGATTAAGTCTACAACCTTATTGAACTATTTTGGTTCACGTCCTCTTAGTATTTTGTTATAGTTATTGTGCATCTGTTTCTAATTGAGGGTCTCTGTATTGTTGTAGTTTAAGATTTGTTTGATATCAAAAATATTACACTTCGTTAATTTGGTTTTTAAGTAATGTGTATTCTGTTGTACTCCTAATATTATATTTATTGAAGTACCAGATGTTTTCAGTGGAATTGGCCATGGATTAGTATATCTTATTAATTGTAACTAAAATAAGTGTAGTGTATATATTGCTCATGCTGTATATGATCGGTATTGCTTCGTAGAGAATATAAGAAGATATTTGAGTATTGATAAATTTGTTGCTGCAGCATCCTGTAGTTGTTGTAATCTACTTTTTAGTGTTGATTTATAAAAATTAATGAATTAATTTCTCTAGTCAGGTTTGTATATAAGTGTAGTTGTTGTTGCTATTCTATTGATTTAAGTGCGTAAATATTAGGATGCATTAAAAATGTGTTTGGAATCAAGTGTGCTATTGACGCTTTATTTCTAACTAGTTCTGTATATGATTTCATTAATGCAGCAAGTTGGTTATCTGTTAGATAGTATGAATTAAGTCGATATAGTAAATAAGGGATTAGCATACTATTGATTACGTAAATTGCTTGTTTTTTTGTAATCTTTGCCTATTTTAGTTTTTGGAGGCATTGTCTTGCTTTCTGTAAGATTAACTCTTATGCAGGTTTATATGTAGGATTGTCTGTAAACCAAGTTCCCAAATATTTGAATGCTGTACCTGTATAGCTTTGTGGAACTAATTTTTCACGAAAAGTGATAACTTGATCTTCACTCTCTGTGTTTGTATAGAAAACTGATTTTAGCAGATTGACTTGGATATTATGTAGAGTATAGAAAGAGTCTGCTGTATCTAGTATATATAGGAGGTCTTTCTTATTATATGCTATCCATACTGAGTCATCCATATATGCCATTACAGGTATATTTATATTTAGGGTTTCCTCTATATGCTTTGTTATTAACTTGTATTCTCTGTGTTCTGCATTTACTCGACTTATTAGAGGGTCATAGAATATTCTCCAAAGGATAGGTGAGATAGTTTTCTCTTGATCGATCCCATCTCTAATATTATATTTGTTTGTAAGCCATGATCTGTAATTACTTAATTTGTACAATTAGTAAACAGAGAGGTTATAATTAAGATAAATTTTTCTGGTAGGCAAATACACTTCATTGCTTTTGCAAGAGTTGGTATATGAACTGTGTTGTAGGCTTTCGACATATCCTGTAATACTATCTATAATTCTTTGTCATTTTCAGATGCATCTTTGAATATATGGTTTAATGTATTGATATTGTTATAAGTCGATTGGTATGGTAGTGCTGCAGAGTTATATAGTGAAAGGATTTCATGCTATACTAGTTTGGTGATCAGACGGACTGTTAAGATCTTCATAAAAAGTTTTTGAATATGTTCAATTAGTGTTATAGGTCTAGTATAGCTCAAATTATTGTTGTACTGTAAATGCTTTGGAACTGGCCAAATATTTGAATTTAACTATGCTTTAGGTATACTTTCCATTTGTAAACAGGCATTCATGATATTTAGCAAAGATGATATTGCAATTTCTAGAAGTTGTGAAGTATTTCATTTGATATTTGTAAAGGCTCAGGAGCCTTATTATGTGGTGATACTTTGATTACCTCTTGAAGTTCCTCAATCATAATTTTTGTTATGAGGTTATTATAAATAGAAGGTGATAAACTCTCTATTGGTTTGTTATACTTCTTCTATAAGTGCTAAAGATTACTGTTAGATGAATTATATCTTGTCTAATTTTCAAAGTGTTTACTCGTATATTCTTTTATGTCTCTTGGTTCTGTAATTATTTCATCTGCTGTAATAATTCTCTAGAAGTCTACTTTTTCTTTTTTTCTTTTAAGGATACTATCTAGCATCTTCGAAATATTACTTTGAAAGTTGTCATATCTTTTGTTTATAAAGAAATTTATCCTTTCTGTTTGTTTAAGATTTAATTCTAAGTTTCATGCTTTCTATAATTCATCCTTTTTTTTATGCAGAATTGATTTGAGTGGTGAGTTAGGAATTAATAAGTCATTCTCAGTTAGACATAAAATCTCTTGCTCTATTAGTTTATTGGCTCTTGTTATGTGTTTGTTGATTTTTTGTATGGTACATATAGTGGATATTGGTACTTTTATTGTTTGCTATGTTCGTAGTGCTTTTTTTATATGTAGTAGTGCCTGATGAAGCAAGGTTGCTTTTAGTAAGAGTGCATAGAATTGTTTGTTTGAGCTATAAGAGAATGAAATATGTTTGTTTGCTGCTCACTTTACTATACTATTCCATAATTCCCATAATTTGTTTAGTACTATATAGTTGTTTATAGGCCCAGTATTTAGTTTTTCTAGCATCTCATTACTAACAAATGTTCTGAGTTCTTCCCATTGCTCTTTTGTTATCTTGTCATAATTATAAAACTTATATCTACATTTTTTTTGTCATCTCTGTTTACATGTAAAGTTTGTATACCAGGTAGATATTATTATACGATGATCACTATCAGTAATATTGCATGGATCGACTAGTTCTGGTATGTCTATGTCTAAAGTAAGTTCTGGTATAGTTCAAATATTATCAATTTGGCTTGATAAATGACTACGTTGCCAGGTAGAAGCTGTTATATTATGGAATTGTAGTAGAATGTTTAGGCTTAGAGTTTTTAAATCCGTGAATAAAACTTTACACTTGTTTTTGAGAAGGTGATTGGCATTTAAATCTTCTATAATTATACACTGCCAGTTCCTTGTCTTTGTTTCAGTTATCTATGAGTTAATCACTCTTTGTGTGCTGAGTGCTAACTCAGGATAGTTCATTGGAATGTATATCGAAATAAATCTAATCTTGTTTTTTTCAGAGAACCAGAAGTCAATAAAAATTGCTGTACTAGGGTAGTTTCCCATATTATTGATATATAGGCTAATTGAATTGTGGATTGCAAATGCAGTTTCTAGGGAGGCTTCATGCTATATATTATTTTTAGATATGAAATTGGAAGAGAAAATTTTGTATATTGGATTAGTTAGAGTTGATGTGCTCTCAGTTTTCAGTTTAGTTTCTGTCATTAAAACAATATGCAATTGTTTTTCTTCACAATATATTAGCTAGTTGTGTAGTTTAAGTCTGTTGTTTAGTTCTTGCATATTGTGTGTTGCGAAGTTGATTTTTTTTAAATGTTGTTTTCTAATCATTTTTATTATTTTCTAGACTGATATCCATGTTTGTGTTGAATTGAGATTGTTGTGAGTTATTGCTATTAAAGATTTCCTAGCTAGGTTCTGGTAGATCAAGTATATCAAAGATGAATAAAGGAAATATTTGAATTATGAAGTGTGCTCAGAGTAGTTCTGTCACTTCTAATACTTCCTCATACCTTTTAATTGGGAAGTTAAGATGTGAAAGTAAATCAATTTGTTTTGTAATTGTTGAGAGCTGTTCTAGTGTATTAGGCATTTTGTGATGTCTATCTATAGTATTGTTAAGATTTTCAATTTGGATCTAACTTTCAGAGATCCTTTTGAAATAATAGTATTTTCTAAGGTCTTTAACTATGATACTGAGTTGTTTAGCTATAGTAAATGGAACTGTTAAGTTAACTTTGTCTACCTATATATATTCCTCAGGAAGCTCTGATAGATCTGTTGGATTTACTGTCATATAGCTATCTGGGAATACTGCAGGTACCTAGTATATTGGTAGTATTTCATCTATGAATGCACATGCAGTAGCCTTATCTTTAATTAGGAAAACATATTTGTTTTCAAGGTGTAGTTTGTTTGGATCATTTGGTAGACAACGTCTCTGTATAATATAATCATTTGGTAATCTTGTGAAGGTATAACTCTCTTTTAGAAGATGCACATGTTCTTTAAAATCTTCTGTATTTTTTGAAAGGAAAAGGAATATTTCTCTGAGGCAAGGTGTAAGCTCTTGTGGTATACAAGGAAGTTGTAATTTTAGAGCTAATAAGTCAAAATATATATCTGGGAGGCAATATATAATATATGTTGACTGTAGTTTCTCCTTGTATTTAGCAATTGATTTTAATTCTATGAAAGTGGTAATTAGAAATAGATCTCTCAAAGGTTCAGTAAGTAGTAATGGTAACTCTAGAAGTAGTAACCTCTTGTTATCAAAGTATGATTCTAGAATTCGTGTGAATGTATAAACAAGTCTTAGTACCTTTGCCATTACTCCTACTTGTTGTTTATCTTTGTTTGGAAGTGTAAAGGCAATTGCTTCTCTAATGTCATTATCTATAAGATTTGGAATATTAGGTAATAGTATGAGAAGATGGTCTTTTTCAGCTTTGACTATATTTAATATATCTTCAAATTTTAACTCTGTTTGTATTTTTGCAAGCACAACAAAAATGTGTACAAGGTTGTACTCCGGATGGGTCCGGTCGACTACTTCGGATCATTAATATATTAATTCCGATGATTAACAAAATAATAATGATAGCGATATTGATTTTATTTAGCAATTCTTCTTTCTTTATTATTCATTGCTACTATATTCACGTACTTCGTTAAAGAAAAATAAATATAAATAAAATGCAAAGAGAAAATTCAAATTTATCGGATTTACCGATTCCACTTCATCAAGTTCTTCCACCAGATTATAATTATAAAATAAAAAGTTATTCCGAACTTGAACCAATAATTACAGCTGAAAATGTGAATATTGGACAAATAGCTGTGAATTTATATGTGGATATTAATGATAAAGAAAGTGCTTTGAATTGGTTAAATAACTTTCAAGAGGTATCAAAAACCACTATGAGGCTTACCTGAACCTACCCAGTTAAGGGAAGCAAAGTCATTTTTCGTGAAACAAGACATTGTATCCAAGTAATAAAGTAAAGCAAAAAAATAAAAATCGTGAGGTTAAAAATCCTAACAGTCTACAAAATAGAGACACAAATTGCACAGCTATACTTGATTTTAAATTAGAAAAATCAAATCTTAAAACTTCTCATCCATTAGAGATTAACCTTCGTTTTACCCACAACTACTTACCTAATTCAGCTGCTTTGTTTAGTTTCCACCTAGTTAGTAAAGAAACACAAGAACAGTATATAGACCTGTTTAGTATTGGGCATACAGCAGCCTCAGCAAGATATGTATACGAAGACAAATTGCATTTATCTGCATCTGATGATAATGAACTTGCACATTTGTTGGCTGATCGAGCCAAAAAT